GAATACATGTATCAAAACATCACATTGTACCTGTAGGTAGCAATGCAAAAATATGTACCTATAGGCACAATGTGATGTTTTGATATATGTATAAAATTTAAATATATACATAAAATTTAGAAATGCATATATGAAATCTTATATAAAGAATATGAGAGTTGTACCTATATATGAATATATAAATAATATGATATATATTATATTGCAATGTATCATATTATTTATATATCTATGTATAATACATTATAATATGCCATGTAATATATATATCATGTATTATAATTTATAATATATAATGCATTATGTATATTAATATGTAGGTTATATTTATATTTAAAATATATTTATATATTAATATATAGATTATTTTTATAATAAAATATTAACATATTTTATGTATTAATATAAAATATGTGAACATAAAATATTTCTTATATTTATATGGAATATATAAGTATTTAATATATTTAATAATATATTTTATATTTAATATAATACTAATATGTATTTATATAATATTTAATCTATTTATTAGATTTATATATTTAATAGATATATAATATGCTTTTATATATTATACATATATTACACATAATATGCATTATGTCTATGGATATTACAGAATACATAGATAGGTAAAATTCTCATATTCTTTAGACAAGATTTTCTTTACTTCTTTGAACATACTTTAAACTGCCAACTTCATGTTATTCTCTATAAATCCAAAATTTGTGCTTCCTGTAGCGTAGTTTCTATAGACTTTTTTTTTCCAGTATATGAGTCATACGTTTTTAATTTTTAGGCCATGTCTCATATGTTTTTGAAAATTTTAAATATGGAATAATTATATATGTATTTATACATAATTAATATTTCAATAAAATGATATAAATGAAAAACGCTTTTTTTTCCTACTTTGACTTTTGTTAGTTTCTGATATTTCTGTGTCTGGGTTATTGAGTTTATTCCTTTTGTGTTTTACTGAGTTTCTAGACATGTAGATCAACAATTTTCATCAAAATTTGGGAAGTTTTCAGACATTAATTATTTCAAATATTCTTTCTACCTCTTTTCCTCCCCTCTTCTCTCTTCTCCTTCTGCTCCTTCTTTTTCTCCTTTTTCTGTGACTGTCATTACGTGTATATATATATATGCATGACGGTATCTCACAGGTCTCAAAGGCTTTGTCCAACATTTTTTTTTTAATTCTTTTCTCTCTCAGTACCTCAGACTGGATAGTATAAATTGACCTATCTTCAATGTCACCTTTTTTTTCTTCTGAAAGCTCAAATATTCTATTGAGTCCCCCTGTGAATTTATTTTAATTAGTATTGTATGTTTTGACTCAATAGTTTGCATCATGAACTTGCAAATAATTTATATATTTTTCTTGATATTTCCCATTATTTGATGATATATTATTCTAATATTTTCCAATAGTTCTTTAGATAAGTTTTTTTAGTTCTTTGAACATACTTTAAGTAGTCAACTTCATGTTTCCTCTATGATTCCAATATTTGTACTTCATGTAGGGCAGTTTCTATTGATCTTATTTCATCCTGTATATGAGCCATATTTCTTATTGGTTTGCATGTCTCATATGTTCTTTAATAAAAACTTAAATACTGAGTAATATATAATGGCAAATCTTGTAGTCAGATTCTCTTCTATCCCCAGTATTTTGTTGTTGTTGTTGTTCTTGCTGTTTTTTTTTTTTTAATTTATTTCTTAATTTTGTCAAATCTGTGTTCTTTGTTGGTTATAGCTACTGAAATTTCATCTCAGTTAGTTTTGTCATCAGCTAGGGATTGGATAGGTATTACCTTAAATTCCTGGTATAAATATGTCTTTCAGCATTTGCCACGGTACTCTGTGCATTTGGGGACACACTGTCTATGTTCAGGCAAGCAATTAACAGTTCTTGTTACATTTTGCTTCTTACTGACATTAAGCCACATGACTGTACATGCACACAACCTTGCACATACAGCTCTTTAGATTTCCAGGAATATATTAAAGCTTTTCAAGCCCCCTATGGACACCTCCTTTTCCAGTTTATTTTAAGTATCTGTCAGCCTGACATTTACCCCGACATTTATCTCCATCTCAGGCAGCTGCAGTTTATCCAATTGCCACTGCTTGTTTTTAGCAAGCACATCTTAAGTAAAGACTACTTATTCACACTAGGTTATGACTGAGTCATGTCAAATAATGACAAGCCTGGTTTGTGGAGTTATCCAAGGAAATGTTAGACAGCTCAAATAATTACCACTCTCTGAGAATAAGGCTTTAAAGAAACTCCAACCCTTTTCTTTTACCTACATAAGCTTCCTGGATGCTATCATTATTGTGGACTGTTGGGTTTCAAAGTTACCCCAGAGCTGAGAGGACAGAGGGCATTGCATAAAAAAGGTTGCAATGCCACATATCTCACTATTTTTACCTATTTAGCCATTTTCTTGAATAAACACTCACAAGGTTATTTCAAGTTTTAATTAATTTCATGAATTCTGAAAAGTTCATTATGACAGTTTTGCTAATGCTTTCCTTGCTTTTATTGAGAATAATAATTTTGGAGGACCTTAATTATTCTCTCCGATATATTGTATTATATCTTTAACATACATTATCTTAACGTATTATATCTTAAACAAATGTATTATTTTCAATATCATTTCTTTCCTCTTCCAGAGCTGCAGGTTCACATTTATTTTATATACATTAGTCCTCAATATCTATGAACTAGCTCATAATTATTATTTGGGTTTTTCTTCCCCAATTTAAAGTCTTATGATTCCCTCTATTGTTCCACAGTGCACTTGGCTGTATTTATAGACATATGTGCTTTATTGCCTCTAATCTAACATTCAATGCTTAATTGCATTTTTATTTTCATATCAAGTTTATAGTTTTACCTTTGCATTTTTTAATCTCTGTTTTTTTTTCCCTCAGGATTTCATTTTGGGTTCATGTACTCTGAAAAATTTTTGAAGCCTAAAATTTATTTGAAATTCTGGAGATATTTTCTCTGAAAACTGCTCCAATTTCACTGAAATTCATCTTGAGAAATTTATTTTTCACCTGTCATTTGCAGTGCTTGTTCTTACCTTTTTTCCTCCAACATTAATGCATACACTTTCTGAAGTTCTTTTGTCATTATTACTGACTTTTTAAATGGAAACAATTATCCTGAAATCTATTATGACAAACAGTGGGAGGATAAATCACAGTTTCAATTCACATTTGTTGTATTCAACAACCTGTCACCAAATATGATTTCCTTTGTCCTACAAAACACATCTTCATTTAATTTTTAGCACTCCAGTATTCAGCATAGCACTGGAAAAGCTCTTGTACCCATAGGCATTTGGTGTCATTATATCTGGGCATGGATGCCTCCTCTCCTCTTTTTTCACTTTAAGAAAGTCTGGAAGTCTGAATCGGCTATTCAACATGGTTTACCATCTCTCCTTCCCAGGCATGTATTCATGTAGAACTAGATCTTTGCATTAGGCTTTGTCTAGGACCCTCATTTTACTCTTCTAACCAATAACCTTTGAAAAGATATTTAATTATACAGTGATTGGATTTACTGCTTAAGATTTGCAAAACTATGTGTCCTATTTCAGTATCTCTTTCACTTTGATCTACTTTTTCATTTTATGACACATACAAACAACACTTTATAATTTCGGATGACAGCCCTTTTTCCTGTATATTAAAAAAATTCCTTCCTTCTTTCTTCCAGTGTGTGATGCTCCCCTCCCTGTGTCCACGTGTTCTCACTGTTCAACACCCCCTTATGAGTGAGAACATGTGGTGTTTGGTTTTCTGTTCTTGTTCAGTTTGCTGAGAATGATGGTTTCCAGATTCATCCATGTCCCTACAAAGGACAGGAACTCATCATTTTTTATGGCTGCATAGTATTCCATGGTGTATATGTGCCACATTTGCTTTATCCAGTCTGTCATTGATGGGCATTTGGGTTGATTCCAGGTCTTCGCTATTGCAAACAGTGCCACAGTGAACATACGTGTGCATGTGTCTTTATAATATAATGATTTATGATCCTCTGAATATATACCCAGTAATGGGATTGCTGGGTCAAATGGAATTTCTATTTCTAGATCCTTGAGGAATCGCCACACTGTCTACCACAATGATTGAACTAATTTACACTCCCACCAACGGTATAAAAGTGTTCCTTTTTCTCCACATCCTCTCTAGCATCTGTTGTCTCCAGATTTTTTAAATATCACCTTTCTAACTGGTGTGAGATGGTATCTCAATGTGGATTTGATTTGCAAGAACTAAAATGTTAACTAAGGTACAATGACTTGGTTGATCTTCTATAAATGCTGGCTGATTTTCATGTCCTTCACATAGAAAAATATATTTTAACAACCACATACTTAACTATTCAATGGATAGTTTAGTGAAATCAGTGAATTTCAAGTGTTATTTAAAATTTGCAATAATAACTATTTAAGTATTTAAAGAGAAAATTTCATCCATGAAATAAATGTACAATCATATGCAAACTACCTAGCTATCAATCACTTATTGATCATGTATTCATCTTTCTACCTATTATACATTAACTTAGGTGATTTTCATAAGAACCATATTTAATAATGTTTTTATGGGAAAATGCACTCCATTGTCAGTTGAATTCAGGATGCCATAACACTTCAAATAATGCTTCTCTTGTTTTCTGGTGCCCATGCCTGATATTCTGAGCCTCAAATACTCCTATATATCAAGAAGAGCTGATTGATAAAAATATAGATTATTCTGCATATCCGAATTTTTGTTTCTTCTCTAAAGACACACAAATCAATATATTTAATTGATACATGCCTTGAATTATGAAACCATTCTTTGCAATTCAGTTTTTCTTCTCCAAAATCATTTTCTAAGTACTTATACTGAAATATATACATGCAAATGGAACAGTTTTACATTAACAATATAAAATAATATAACACTCGTTTAAAATGTTTTTTTTTTCACTGTGTAATGTGACACATTTTAATAAACAAATGATCAGCATTTCACACAATGCATTTTCTTCAGAAAATCCAGAGCAAGGGATGACTTCATTATTTCCGTAACAGTTCAGTATTGCAGATTGAAAACAACTGAACTTTCAGATGAAGTTGACTTCTACTTGATGGCAGGATTCAAGGTTTCTCAGATGTTAATACAGAGTCAAAAGCAGTGGATAAAACCTTGCAAATGGCTTGTGCTTGTTCCAGGCTGTTGCACTGATAAACCCACAGGCTGTATTCTTCATTGCTTGCATCTGTGGTCTTCAGAGCCAGTAAGCTTTTTCCTGCCCCTAGACCGTCATCGTAACACACCATCCGGATTATTAAGTAGAGAGCATGCCTGTGCAAAACATCATATTGATCTGAAGTTGATACTTTTATGCCATACTTGGAAACTCCCATAATAAACTCTTCCTCCGGAGGAACAAAAGGCAACTTTCCATCTTGCTGAGCAACATCTATATAATTTATCAGGTCCAAGGGTCCTTCAAGACCTTTTCCCTCAGAGAGTTTCAGTTTCTCAATGGCACCAACATATTTTATTCGAAATTCTGCACAGGTATCTGAATTACTGTTGCTTTGTCCTGAGCTTTTGGTGGAATCTGTGTCGAGGCTGGCCACAGTGCTGGATCGTGAAAGACCCCCAAGGCTAGAATCTACAGACTTGCTCTTAGTACTGATTTCACTACTTTGGGAACTGCTACTACTGTGTCGTTTTTTGCCTTTGCGAAACATTTTTCACCACCATTGCCTGATCCAGAGAAGATCCCTATAGAATTGAACACTATTTGACTGTCTTCAAAGGTCCCACATACAGCGGTCTACACAGAGAGATTCCTGTCATTCTGACCTGGACGATGCTTTTCAGAGGAACAATGTACCTCGCGGCCGCGGGCCCATCCCGGGGCTGCGGACTTCAGGGTCCGAGTTGGAGCTCCGCAACCTTCGGCGCCCGGGCAGCTACTCCCGTTTAAAATGTTTAGAAAATATGGCTTGTGAATAGTTTCAGAGTAATGTGAACACAGGTAGGTCTACATAATTTTATTTAACTATTGCTTAGTATCCCAAATGATAAAACTGCCTAAAAATTATATATTAACAAATGACTTTTTTTTTAGTATTTGCTCTTAAAAACAATTATATATATATTTATATATACATATATTCAATAAATATATATATTCTATAAATATATATAACATATATATTTACTGAATATATAATAAATATATTTATTGAATATATATATATGTATATATATATATTTTTTAGACAGAGTCTCAGTCTGTCACCAGGCGCCAGGCTGGTGTGCAGTGGCACAATTTTGGCTCACTGCAACCTCCACCTCCCAGTTCAAGCAATTCTCCTGCCTCTACCCACTGAGTAGCTGGAACTACAAGCACACGCCACCACATCCAGCTAATTTTTTGTATTTTTTAGTAGAAACCAAGTTTCACCATGCTGGCCTGGATGGTCTCGATCTCTTGACCTCCTAATCCGCCTGTCTCGGCTTCCCAAAGTACTGGGATTACAGGTGTGAGCCACCGCATCCAGCCAGAATTATATTTTTTATTCATTTAAGTGAGGGATTATTTAGCTACTATTAAAGAGTAAAATTTGTCTTGAAAATTTATGCCTATAAGCATTCAATCTAAACTGCCAAATTGTCTTTCAAAGGCATATTTCTACTTTTGCTTTATAAAACCATTTATGAGCACATAATTTTATCCAACAATAATATTGATAAATTTCAATTATATGTAAATCTACATACAATAGATTATATAATTATTTTAATAGATATTTATTTGCTCATCACAGAAATTTAACATTTTTATTTCTTATGCATCTGAATTTACTTGGCTGTCAATTTGAATATTGTCCATTAGCTTATATGATTACTTGTTATTATTATCAATATTTTAATATGGATAATTTTACAAGAAAATAATATTATTAAACTTCGTACTTTAAACCTATAAAATTTTCTGCTGTCAGTATACCAATAATTTATATCTTTTTATTTTTCTAAGAAATAATATAGCCTGCTATAAGATTTGAAGCATAGTTTTCCATAATCTGATACTTTCATCAGTTTGCTGTTTTTGTTTTGATACTTGATTTGAAATTTATGTCTGTAATGAGTTGAGGCAGAAATTAGAATTGCTCCCCAAGCAACCTCAACAAAATAGTCAATTGCTACAACACAATGAATTTTTATCATTATATATCTTTTCCTCATTGATTTTTGGCTACCTTCATCATATACTAAATTTGAAGTTATATATATATATATATCTCCAATTCAGGATATATGAGCTAGTTCATTAATCTAATGATCCATTTTTATTCCATTACTATTTAATTTTCTCATTGTATCTAAATAATATGTTTTTCTTGTGGATGATTATTATCTTCTTCTTCTTCTAAACTGTCCTTGTATTTCTTAACTGTTTTTTTGATCCTTAAATTAATTTTAAATTAGATTGTCAATTTCTCTAAGAAATAAATTCTTTTATGATTCTAATTAGGTCTGAAATGAAATAAAAAATAATTAATAGTTGTTGATGTCACTTTATTGATTTCTCATTTAAAGCCCTTGTTTATTGACAATAGTTATTTTTTCTATATTAGTTATATTTATTCTTTCCCATTTATATTTATAACATATTTTTTTTTGTTTTGACTTGTTCTAATGAGTCAGTACATACTAGTAACAGAAGCATTAGTTTAATTTTTATAATTTCACCTAAAATTTGAAGATTGGATTTGGTCCTGGGAAGTCTGATTATATATTTTATATTCTTTACTTGTAGTCATTAAAAAAAAAGTTGCAAGGTCAAATTTATCAGTTGTTAAATTACTCAGCATTGTGATAACAGATGAATTGTATCCCCTAGGTTAGTGCTTTTTAATACAGTAGCTAGTAACTATATATGTCTGTTGGACACTTGAAAAGCAGTCATTGTGATGAAGGCACATAATTAATACTTTTAATTTATTTAAATTTAAATACTGAAAAATGGATTTTAAAAATTTAACCTAACTCATTTTGTTTAAAAATACATTCCCCTTAACTGTTGAATTATCTGAGATATTATTGTGATATGATAGTGAATATGTATTGTTTCAATTATTACATATAAAAGCATCATAAAATTAGTCACTGTACAAAATTTGCTTCAGTTCAAGTGTGTTTTTGTATGCAATAATATACCATCGTAATTTGTTTACTTGAATATTTTCATGATTTGGATCTCTGTTTGTCTATTATTGGCATAGAGTAATGCCTGTGATTTTTACACACTGATTTTGTACTCTGAGACTTTGCTGAAGTTGCTTATCATATTAAGGAGATTTTAGGCTGAGAAGATGGGGTTCCCAAAGGATTATAAATCATTCTATTATAAAGACACATGCACAAATATGTTTATTGCAGCACTGTTCACAACAGCAAAGACTTAGAACCAACCCAAATGCCCAGCAATGATAGACTGGATAAAGAAAATGCGGCACATATACACCATGGAATACTATGCAGCCATAAAAAAAGATGAGTTCATGTCCTTTGCAAGAACATGGATGAAACTGGAAACCATCATTCTCAGCAAACTGACACAAGAACAGAAAACTAAACACTGTATGTTCTCCTTCATAAGTTGGTGTTGAACAATGAGAACACATGGACACAGGGAGGAAAACATTACACAATAGGGCCTGGGGGATGGGGGCTAAGGGAGAAATAGCAGGAGGTGTGGGGCTAGGCGAGGGATAGCATTAGAAGAAATACCTAATGTAGACGATGGGGCAACAGATGCAGCAAACCACTACCATGGCACGTGTATACCTATGTAACAAACCTGCATGATCTGCACATGTACCCCAGAACTTAATATATTTTTTAAAAACAGAAAATACATAGTGAATTTGATAAAGCATTCCTCTTAATAGATAAAAAGCACTGACAGCCTTAGTTGTTTAAAATGAGAATTGAATATACATCAAACAAGATAAAATAATTGTTGACAAGAGCTAAGCTTCTAACAATGCCCAGCTACAAATTATTTTGGATTCTTGAAAAAAATGAAATAATTTCCAGATGGTATATTGGTCAGAGTTCAATCAGAGAAAGAGAATCAGTAGGGTGTGTGTGTATGTTGAGAGAAGGGGAGAGAATAAAAAATTTTGTTATTTCCTTATGTGATTGCGGGGCTGGCCATCAGTAAAGGAAGGTCACCAGCAAGCTGGAATCTACAGATAGTAATTAGCACAAACAAAAACTGCAGTCCACAGGCAGGTTTTTTGTTTTGTTTTGTTTTGTTTTTATAATTTTGTTTTTGTCTTGTCTTTATTTCCCTCTCTATCTCTCTCAGGGATACTGTGGTCATGTTTTCAAGACCTTCTAATTGACTTATTCAGGTCCACCAAGATTAACAAAGATAACTTTCCCTAGTTAAAATCAGCTGATTTATGATCTTAATTACATCTGCAAGATATCCCAGCAGGAAGTAGATTATTGTTTGATGGAAGAATTAGAGATTTAACTAAGCTATCAAACCAAAAATATTATCGGAGATGTAGGGATGTTTAAAAGTAGTTCAGGTATAAGTTTTGTTAGAAAATTATGAGAAAAAGATTGAAAAGGACAACTTTAAAAAGGGACATGAATATTAATGTTTAAATTGTTCAATATAAACATACAATTGCAAGACATCATACCCAATTTATGAAGTTAGAAATGAACAAATAGAAAAAAATTTGAAAATATTGTGTCGTGGTATAAAAGCATTTCATAAAGATTTACTATACTAACTCTAATTTAAAATTTTGGTTAAATTCAAAGAATGTTGGTGAAATATAATCAAAGAAAAGAAGTTAATGTAAATGTAGTTCATGTTTTCTCACTACTATCACATTGCATATGAGCAAGCTACATTTGAATCCAAGGAAAGGTAATATTGTATGTGACTTAGCTAAACAAGTATAGAAAGCTGTTGACATGAAAACTGTTCATAATACAAGTCAATTATAAAAATTTTACATATTATCCAGAAGATAAAGCAGTAAAACGTGTAATGTAATCAGTAGTATTACATGAATCAACTCCAAGTCTAAACTTAAAAAAAAAAATGCTTTGATATATTAATAAACCTAGCTTTATTTTTCAATTCTTGCAATACACTTTGGATTCAATATTAATAGTACTGAGTTAAAATAAAAGTTAATTTACTTAACTAAGTGTTCAAATTGAGATGAGATGTAAGTATAAAATATATATTGATTTCAAATATTTGATACAAAATAAAAAAATCACTAAAATTTTTATATTGATATGTTAAAATGATATTTGAATATATCAGGTTAAGTGATATATTCTATTAAAATTAAATGAACCTGTTTCCTTTTAACATTTTTAAATGTAGCTACAAGAACATTTAAAATTATATATGTAGCATATATTTGTACTTAGAACTGCTCTAAGCAATTGTGGCCCACAAATAAATTTTTTATCTCTATGTTAGAAAGTAAATAATTATTGGAGAGGAAGACTAAGAGAACTTTGTGAATGTCTCTCTGCATTTTTATTTAATTTTGTCTCTAAAGATTCAAGCAGCATGTTTTAGGTCCCTGCAATTATCAAGGCATTGCATTTTAAATTTTAAAATATACATATACGCACATACAAAAAGGAAATATCTCTAGGTGACAGACATTATAATGCTATAAAAGGAGTAAAGAATGAAATAGACACACACACACACACACACACACACACACACACACACACACACACACAGAGAGAGAGAGAGAGAGAGAGAGAGAGAGAGAGAGGGAAAGAGAAAGAAAAATAAAAGTCATGCCTCTTGAGTGAATTGAATATTCTGAAAATGATTTTTAAGAGGTTGGTGTATTCTCTCAACAACAACCTGGAAGCATGGTTAGAAAACAAACAGCCTGCCTCTCATGTATG